ATTTGGCTTTGGGGCTGGACCAGCAGCTTCAAAACAGGGGGGCTCCCTGGTGCCATTTGGCTCTCTCTGTGGGATGGCAGAGGAAAGCCATATCTCTATGGCCCATTCCGCCCCCAGCCTTTCTGTGGAGGCTGCAGCAAAGGCGGTCGACTGGATCATGTTCCAAAGTCAACTGCAATCAGTGAGAATCTCACCATGGATGTCGATCGGCTCTGGGTCAGGGCCTTAGCCCTGATATAGAATCTTGTCCTGCTGGGAACTGAGGACACATGGACTCGTTTCACTGAACAGCCAGTCAGATGCGAGTGACTGGGGCATATGCGACAGCTCCCATTTGGGCCAGGGATTGAAACAGGGATATCCAGAATTAAAAGCATGAGTAGCTACAGCTTGAACTATGGTAAAACCATCGCAGACTCATATTGTCTGTGGATCAGGCACAGAGAGGGACCTGTAACATACATTCACCGGTGGGTCACACTGAACTGATTGTCAAGCCCGCAGCTGGGCTGATACCAGGACCATAATGGTATTGGGCCACGTATCCCACTGCGTACCAGGCGATGCCTGGGGGCGGGTCAGGTGCCCCTCCCCACAGGTCACCGTGTCACTCACATTCAGGTACTGGCGGTTGGAGAAGATCTTGCCGCAGCCCTCGAAGTCGCACAGGAGCATCTCGCGCTTGGTTGCCTTCCTGCAGAGAGGAGCCAGGATGCAGTTCAGCAGCCCCTCAGTTCTCAAACCCTCCCTTGTGGACCTTCCCTCTGTCCTCTCCTCTCCATCTCCCCGCTGCAGGGGCAAGAGCCGTGTCCTCTGCTCTGCAGCCACCTCCCTGGATCTTTCCCTGCTCACCAGCTGCCTTCGTCACCTCTCCTCTGTGGCTTGTGATGTCTGGATAAAGCCCCCTTCATCTCCCTGCCTCACCGGCTCTCCATCTCCTTTTCAACCTCTTTTCTCCCATCTGTGCCCATCTGCTCTGGTCTCTCGATTAGCTGTGTAAAGTATTGGGGGTGGGGTGGTGGACAGATTGGACAAAACACACCACTAGCAACGGGGAAGGTGTGCAGGTGGGGGCGCTAAGGGGTGGGTCGCATGCCCTGTGGAAGACGCCAACTGATGGGTGTGGTGGGGATGCAAGAAACACCAGGGAGTATCACTAGGCTGTGAGTGTATGCAGGGACAGAGAGGGGTGGTTGCAAGGGGGAATGGACATGAGACCAAATGGCAAGAGGATTGCCCATCACTGGGGCCATTGTAAAGTACAGTAGGTAACGGGCTGTGGGAAGCAGCCCCTGGTGTGTGGCTCTGGGGCTAATGGGGCTTTTCCTCCCCTCTAAGTCCAACTGGAATGGCGCTGCCACCCCCACCAAGAGGCCAATCCAGACAGAGAGGGAGATCCCGCCCCTCCCCAACTACCGCCCTTCGCAGGAGGCACCACCAGTCGCTCAGTGGAGTGGGGAGTCCAGCCGTGGGGAGCAGGGATACGAGGGACTGGTTTGCAGCCCAGCTCTGCTACCATAAGGGCTCTAGGGGAGGGCAGCCAGCAGAGTCATGTCCAGGGTTCCAGGCCAGGTTCCTACCTGATTCTCTTGGGGCCGATCTGGGCCACATCCTTGTTGCTTGGCTGTCCCCGCTTCTTGCGGCTGCGAAGAAAGAAACACACTGATTGGGTGCTCCCGGAGAGAGGCGTGTCTCTCCTCCTCCTTTCTCCCCATGCTGTCTCCCTTTCCCCTGGCCTGTGTTTTCCTTTTCTATACACCCTTCCCCATCTGCGCTACGAACATCTCCCTCATCCCCTCACTGCGAGAAGGCATAGGAGATTAAGGCTGCCTGGCCTTCTCTGGGGCAGGGATCTCCAGCTACCAGCCTCCTACAGGAAGGGCTTCTGGTGCCAGGTCTCATGTAGCTGGCAGAATCCAAGGGTTCCCAATAGCCCCTTCTCAGGACTCATGTGGCCTCGTCACAGGAAGACGAAGCGTCCCATAAGTACATGAGAACATAAGAACAGCCGTACTGGGTCAGACCAAAGGTCCATCTAGCCCAGTATCCTGTCTACCGACAGTGGCCAATGCCAGGTGCCCCAGAGGGAGTGAACCTAACAGGCAATGATCAAGTGATCTCTCTGCTGCCATCCATCTCCACCCTCTGACAAACAGAGGCTAGGGACACCATTCCTTACCCATCCTGGCTAATAGCCATTAATGGACTTAACCACCATGAATTTATCCAGTTCTCTTTTAAACGCTGTTATAGTCCTAGCCTTCACAAACTCCTCAGGGAAGGAGTTCCACAAGTTGACTGTGCGTTGCGTGAAGAACTTCCTTTTATTTATTTTAAACCTGCTGCCTATTAATTTCATTTGGTGACCCCTAGTTCTTGTATTATGGGAACAAATAAATAACTTTTCCTTATCCACTTTCTCCACATCACTGATGATTTTATATACCTCTATCATATCCCCCCTTAGTCTCCTCTTTTCCAAGCTGAAGAGTCCTAGCCTCTTTAATCTCTCCTCATACGGGACCCGTTCCAAACCCCTAATCATTTTAGTTGCCCTTTTCTGAACCTTTTCTAGTGCCAGTATATCTTTTTTGAGATGAGGAGACCACATCTGTACGCAGTATTCGGATGTGGGCGTACCACCGATTTATATAAGGGCAATAATATATTCTCAGTCTTATTCTCTATCCCCTTTTTAATGATTCCTAACATCCTGTTTGCTTTTTTGACCGCCTCTGCACACTGCGTGGACATCTTCAGAGAACTATCCACGATGACTCCAAGATCTTTTTCTGACTTCTTGTAGCTAAATTAGCCCTCATCATATTGTATGTATAGTTGGGGTTATTTTTTCCAATGTGCATTACTTTACATTTATCCACATTAAATTTCATTTGCCATTTTGCTGCCCAATCACTTAGTTTTGTGAGATCTTTTTGAAGTTCTTCACAGTCTGCTTTGGTCTTAACTATCTTGAGCAGTTTAGTATCATCTGCAAACTTTGCCACCTCACTGTTTACCCCTTTCTCCAGATCATTTATGAATAAGTTGAATAGGATTGGTCAGAGGACTGACCTTTGGGGAACACCACTAGTTACCCCTCTCCATTCTGAGAATTTACCATTAATTCCTACCCTTTGTTCCCTGTCTTTTAACCAGTTCTCAATCCATGAAAGGACCTTCCCTTTTATCCCATGACAGCTTAATTTACGTAAGAGCCTTTGGTGAGGGACCTTGTCAAAGGCTTTCTGGAAATCTAAATACACTATGTCCACTGGATCCCCCTTGTCCACATGTTTGTTGACCACTTCAAAGAACTCTAACAGATTAGTAAGACACGATTTCCCTTTACAGAAACCATGTTGACTATTGTTCAACAGTTTATGTTCTTCTATGTGTCTGACAATTTTATTCTTTACTATTGTTTCAACTAATTTGCCCGGTACCAACGTTAGACTTACCGGTCTGTAATTGCCAGGATCACTTCTAGAGCCCTTTTTAAATATTGGCGTTACATTAGCTATCTTCCTGTCATTGGGTACAGATGCCGATTTAAAGGACAGGTTACAAACCATAATTAATAGTTCCGCAACTTCACATTTGAGTTCTTTCAGAACTCTTGGGTGAATGCCATCTGGTCCCGGTGACTTGTTAATGTTAAGTTTATCAATTAATTCCTAAACCTCCTCTAGTGACACTTCAATCTGTGACAGTTCCTCAGATTTGTCACCTACAAAAGCCGGCTCAGGTTTGGGAATCTCCCTAACATCCTCAGTCGTGAAGACTGAAGCAAAGAATCCATTTAGTTTCTCCGCAATGACTTTATCGTCTTTAAGCGCTCCTTTTGTATCTCGATTATCCAGGGGCCTCACTGGTTGTTTAGCAGGCTTCCTGCTTCTGATGTACTTAAAAAACATTTTATTACCTTTGGAGTTTTTGGCTAGCCGTTCTTCAAACTCCTCTTTGGCTTTTCTTATTACATTTTTGCACTTAATTTGGCAGTATTTATGCTCCTTTCTATTTGCCTCACTAGGATTTGACTTCCACTTTTTAAAGGAACTCTTTTTATCTCTCACTGCTTCTTTAACATGGTTGTTAAGCCACGGTGGCTCTTTTTTAGTTCTTTTACCGTGTTTCTTAATTTGGGGTATACATTTCAGTTGGGCCTCTATTATGGTGTCTTTAAAAAGCGCCCATGCAGCTTGCAGGGATTTCACTTTAGTCACTGTACCTTTTAACTTCTGTTTAACTAACCCCCTCATTTTTGTATAGTTCCCGAGTCCTTTTTCTAGCAAGCACCAGATGAGTGTTGGAAAGGGATCCAGAGCATTCGGCCAGCTCAATGCCCTCCAGAGAGACACCAGGAGTCTTTCCCCCTTTGTTCACCCCAGACACCCAAGTCCTCCCTATGAGATCAGACTTCCCGCCAAAGCTCCAGATTGCCCCAGATGAGAGCATCCCTGGGCACCCAGGGAAGTCTGGTCAATCCTGCCAAAAAGCCACTGAGGCTGTGGCACTGAGTGACAGGGTTTCATTCCAAGCACCTCTGAATCCAAGAGGGCAGGATGGTCTGGTCTGCCCTGGATCTCAAGGACCCAAAGCAAACCCTGGTCAAAGGAGAATTCAGAGTGGTCACACTAAAATTGCTCTGATATCTTCCTGGACCTCCAAGCCTCACTGACACCCACATGGACACAGTGACGCCTCCCAGGCCACAGGAAGAGCTCAAGTTTGGCCCAGCACTACAAATTTCATGTCTTGAAGGTCAGGTTGATGTAGAGGCCAGTGCTCAGATCCTCAAAGATCTTTACATGCCTAAGTTCCATTGAAATCAATGGGAGATAGGCACCTAAATATCTTTGAGGATGTTTCCCTGGACCACTAGGCTTTAGTTGTAGGCTGGGTACACCCCCCCCCCATCTTTCTGATAAAGGGTACCCCTGCCCAAAGGATACAGGACTTTTTCTCCAGCTCACCCCAGGCTGCTGGAGTCACTAGGGTTCAAAAGTTAAAGTTTTACACAGTAGAACCTCAAAGTTACCAACACCTCGGGAACGGAGGTTGTACGTAACTCTGAAATGTTCGTAACTCTGAACAAAACGTTATGGTTCTTTCAAAAGTTTACAAGTGAACATTGATTTAATGCAGCTTTGAAACTTTACTATGCTGAAGAAAAATGCTGCTTTCCATTTATTTTTTTAACAGTTTACATTTAACACAGTACTGTACTGTATTTCCTTTTTTTTTGGTCTCTACTGCGGCCTGATTGAGTACTTCCGGTTCCAAATGAGGTGACTGGTCAGTTCATAACTCTGGTGTTCATAACTTTGAGGTTCTACTGTAACTATAAAAACACGTTTCAGAGTAGCAGCCATGTTAGTCTGTATCTGCAAAAAGAACAGGAGTACTTGTGGCACCTTAGAGACTAACAAATTTATTTGAGCATAAGCTTTCATGGGCTACAGGCCACTTCATCAGATGCATAGAATGGAACATATAGTAAGAAGATATATATACCCAGAGAGAACATGAAAAGGTGGAAGTTGCCATACCAACTCTAAGAGGCTAATTAATTAAGATGAGCTATTATCAGCAGGAGAAAAAAAACTTTTGTAGTGATAATCAAGATGGCCCATTTCAGACAGTTGACAAGAAGGTGTGAGGATACTTATCATGGGGAAATAGACTCAATTTGTGTAATGACCCAGCCACTCCTAGTCTCTATGAACTTGAATTAATATGCAAACTAGATACCATTAACTTGGGCTTGAATAGAGACTGGGAGTGGCTGGGCAGCATTTTTCGTGGTTTACCTTTCTGTAAATTTTCAATGGATATTTTTTTCATTTGTCTGTGTGTATGTATGATGAAACGGATGTTTATTGACATTGAACAATAAAAATCTAATCTTTCCAAGCCTAAATATACAGCAGGTGTGCTAGATACAGCTGAGCTCAATGCCTTCCTGCCCCGTGGGAGGCTCCAAGACTCACCAGATAGCAAGCTAGCAGAGGACAACTTGTACAATGTTACAATTGTTGGGTCTCTGTGCTCATGTTTCCATATAAGTAACTTCAGTTTGTCTGGCATACAAAAACTATTACACACTGCAAGATCCTACATGTGTGTGTCTAACATGGCAAGGAAAAAGAAATTGTACAACACTATATTTTGAAATAGCATGTGTTCATACAGTTAATAGACTACATTGGAAAATAGTTGCACAAGAGGGCAAAGTTAAGGTTACATGTGCATCCTTTAACATTTGCCTGACTTCTGAGCACTCGTGGTCATGGATTTCTAGAGGAGAGGAGCACAGTCTGCTCTCCTGAATTTCAACTAGAATCTCAAGTGCTCAGTGCTTCTGAAAATTAGGCCTTAGTGGTCAGTTTTTCACGAGGACTCAGCAGCTCCCGAGCCCCTCATAAACATTTTGAACATTTGGCCATAACCGTGCGACCAATACCATTCTCCTAATGGCTTTTTTTATATCAAATTTCCCAATTTTTAATTAAAGTAAAAAGATGGACAAAACAATAAGACCGAAGGAGAAAGCATCACTCTACAATTTCAAAGCTCTGACGGTTTGTAATAGAGATGTAAACAGAAAATTTAAGACCTACAATGCAGTGTGGATGTATTTGGTAAGACACCCCCTGAATGCGGTCATCCTAAGATTCCAAGGCACTACGATAATACAAATAATAATAAAACTTGACTAGGTCAGTAGAACCAAGCTGCTCTTGAATAAGTCCATAGTTTGTATGATAAAAATATAGAGCATTAAAAACCTTTAGAAAAATCCACTCTGGTCATTAAATAAGAGGGAAAATGATTTTATTTCTGTACTGTTTGACAGTTATCTTAAATACCTACTCCACACCACGCAAAATAACTACAGGTTGCCATCATTTATAGTGTGAATAAATACAATTATCCTATGTTACAAACATGATTAAATTGTATTATTTACCAACAATAAAAAGTCTTTAAACACACTGTATTGCAAAAAGGTATAATACAGTTAAGAAAAAAGGAAGCAGTCGTAATCACATTAATCTAATATTTTTAAACATAGAGAAAGCTTGGTCACATACACCAAGTTTCAGAGTGGTAGCCGCGTTAGTCTGCATCAGCAAAAAGAATGAGGAGTACTTGTGGCACCTTAGAGACTAACAAATTTATTTAAGCATAAGCTTTCGTGGGCTAAAACCCACTTCATTGGATGCATGAAGTGGAAAATACAGTAGGAAGACATATATACACAGAGAACATGAAAAAATGGGTGTTGCCATACTAACTATAACAAGAGTAATCAATTAAGGTGGGCTATTATCAGTAGGAGAAAAAAAAACTTTTGTAGTGAAAATCAGGATGGCCCATTTCCAACAGTTGACAAGAAGGTGTGAGTAACAGTGTGGTGGTGGTGGGGGAAATTAGCATGGGTAAATAGTTTTTACCTTGTGTAATGACCCATCCACTCCCAGGCTTTATTCAAGCCTAATATAATAGTGTCCAGTTTGCAGATTAATTCCAATTTTGCAGTTTCTCGTTGGAGTCTGTTTTTGAAGTTTTGTTGTTGGAGTATTGCGACTTTGAAGTCTGTTATTGAGTGACCAGGGAGGTTGAAGTGTTCTCCGACTGGTTTTTGGATTTTATAATTCTTTGATTTGTGTCCATTTGTTCTTTTGCGTACAGACTGTTCGGTTTGGCCAATGTACATGGCAGAGGGGCATTGCTGGCACATGATGGCAATATCACATTGCTAGATGTGCAGGTGAACGAGCCTCTGATAGTGTGGTTGATGGTGACACCATCATAGGACCTAATCACATCAGCCACACTATCAGAGGCTCGTTCACCTGCACATCTAGCAATGTGATATATGCCATCATGTGCCAGCAATGCCCCTCTGCCATGTACATTGGCCAAACCGAACAGTCTCTACGCAAAAGAATAAATGGACACAAATCAAATGTCTGTGTATATATATCTTCCTACTGTATTTTCCACTGCATGCATCCAATGAAGTGGGTTTTAGCCCAGGAAAGCTTATGCTCAAATAAATTTGTTAGTCTCTAAGGTGCCACAAGTACTCCTCATTCTTTATACATTTATGTTTGATCTAATTTAAAATGTTCTGTCTGCATTATCCACCTTCCAATGTAAATCTTGCAGCCACTTCACTTTTGTTGTTGTTGGTCTGTGATAGACTGTCCTGAAAAGAAAAAGAAGTTAGAAAATAGCAAAATTGCCATTTTGGTGAAGAAAATAGATGTTAAAAATCACTGACGATCTGCCATTTTCATTATGTAAGATGTAGGCTATGCAGCTTACTTTGCAAGTGCAAGTTGAGGCTGCTCAACACTTTGCAATACTGTATATTGCACACATGTATTGCCATCAGATTGGGATGACGGTACTTACAGAAGGAGATGAGAGTCGTCTGCGAAGGAACACACACTCCATTATGCAATGTGCTCTTGATGCTCTTTTTCTTGCTCCTCTGATTTTTTTTTTCCTGTCTCCATCTCCCTAGCTATTGGTATCATAATGGCTACAGAAAAAAACACACATCAATGTGTAACTTATTTGATCAGAACCATTACTTCCTTTAAACCTTAAAGGGACACCATCAACAAGTTCAGTCAATCTTTAAAATGAGTGAAAAGTTCAGGTGCTCTACATTTGATTTCAATGGGAGTCTGATATCTATCCTACTTAGTTAGGCACTTTTGAAAATCCCACTACACACTTACACACCTTTGAAAATCTGGCCTTAAATAACTATTAACAGAGTGCTCTCAAATGCATAAAGTAAAGAAACTGAAGGAAAAAGAAAGATTTAGAGGGAAATAATCTTTTTATTTCCAGTGATTTTAGAGATTACTTGTAGGTAGAAAGTTTTCAGACACAAGCATGATTTTTGAGTAGATGGTGTCCCTCTAATGGTAAAATTAAAATGCTGCAGGGAGAGGAAGGGGGAGTGAAAATTAAATATATAATTTACCATTATTTTCTGCTGTGCTTTGATTAATGCCTCCAGAACTTGTTCTCCGCTGGTAGCAAATTGTTACTTAGTTTCAGCAGCCCCTGTAAAACAGACATTAATAGACTTTCAGTATAGAATTGAAGTCATAAAAACATCTAGAAATGAAAAAGGCAGAAGAGCCGTGACTGTGCATGTTAATACTTACTTGGTATGTGTTTGGGTGTATATTTTGGGGTTTCTTTCTCCCATAACCCCCACAAAAAAATATCATCATGAAGAGATAGTTGAGGATGGAAGACTGTTCACACTTAATTCAGCCAATTCCAAAGGAAATGCTTTTATACCTCCCTATGTAATAAAAACATTAGAAAGTCTGGAAAGACAGAGTTAGGGTCTATAATTAATTCCCTGGTGTTATGTAAGGCCGCAGTTCAAGAAGAGACTTAAGCATATGCTTCTTTTTAAGCATATGAGTAAGCCCATTGACTTCTATTGGACTATGCATGTGTTTAAGCACAGGCACCATTGTCAGCCCTTGTGATTTTATTGAGAGTCTCATGATATTTGGTGTTTTTCTTAAAGCCCCAGCTCCCGGAGTCAAGTGATCACAGGACAATTTTAGCTTTTATTTAGATAAAATGTAAGTTTCTAGTTCCATATTTCTCCCACCCACATCCGGCAACCCTACAGATTCACTCCCAGGCTCCTTCCCAGTAATCCAGGGGTCTCAAACACACGGCCCGCGGGGCTATTTCTTGCGGCCCCCCGAGCGGCCCGTGCCCGCCCCCACCCCCCCGGCCTACCTCCAGGCCAGGGGTGGGCAAACTACACCCGCGGGATTTCCCCCCTCGAGCCCCGCACCGGATGGCATCACGTCCCTGCGGCCGGGGGGGGGAGTGGCGGGGGGAGAAGCAGAGGGCTCTGTCCGTGTGTTGCCCTGGCTTCCTGGCACGGCCCCCCGCAGCTCCCATTGGCCGGGAATGGGGAACCGCGGCCAATGGGAGTTTCAGGGGAGGTACCTGGAGGAGCGGTAAGCAGCGTGCGGAGCCCTGCGTCCCCCTCCCCCAGGGGCCGCAGAGACATGGTTCCAGCTACTTCCCGGAGCGGAGCCGGGGCTAGGGCTGGCAGCCTGCCCTGGCCCCAGCCCCGGTGTGCACCACTGCCACCCCGGAGCCCGAAGCTCTCCTGCACCCCACCCCCAACTCCCTGCCCTGAGCCCCCTGCTGCACCCCACACCCCTTCTGCACCCCAACTCCCTGCCCTGAGCCCCCTGCTGCATCCCACACCCCTTCTGTACCCCAATCCCCTGCCCTGAGCCCCCTGCCTGCACCTCAACTCCCTGCTGCATTCCACACCCCTTCTGCAGCCCAATCCCCTGCCCTGAGCCCCCTGCCTGAACCCCAACCCCGTGCTGCACTCCAACCCCCTGCCCTGAGCCCCTGCTGCATCCCACAACCCTTCTGCACCCTGAGCCCCCTGCCTGCACCCCAACCCACTGCTGCACCCCAACTCCCTGCCCTGAGCCCCCGCCACACTCCTCATGCACCCTCTGGGGGCAGGGAGGGGGCGGAGTTGGGGTGGGGACTTCGGGGAAGGGGTTGGAATGAGGGCGGGGAAGGGGTGGGAAGAGGCGGGGCCTCATGGAAGGGGTGGAGTGGGGGTAGGGCCAGGGGCAGCGAGGGGGTGTGTGTCAGTGATGCGGCCCTTGGGCCAATGAACTAGCCCTCATGTGGCCCTCGTGGTCATTTGAGTTTGAGACCCCTGCAGTAATCCCTCTCCCTCAGCTCCTCCATTACCCCTGTCATCCTCAAGCCTTTGCACTGCTCCTCAAGGGTGCAGAAGATACATTTCTGTATTGTAGTTTAAATGAATTATTATCAAAGTTCTGTATTAATATGCCCGGTAAAGAATGTATTTGTCAAAAAACATTTCCTGAATCTTTTTGTTGTTGTTGTCTGTATTGTTACAGACGTACTTGCTGACAGGTATTCTGAAATAAATTACCAAAATAATTAAAACTGGTGTGATTATATTGTATTATTTTGAAAAATAAAATATGCAAAATTTTAAAATATTGTGCACAGAATATTTAACATTTTAGTGCAAAATTCCCCCAGGATTAACTACTTACACACTGAAGCCCTATTTAGCCATTCGCCTCTTCCCTGGTGAGCTGGATACTGCAGTACACTATAGCCACGTTGTACCACTTGGGCAACACAAAGAGGCCATATTCTGGCCCCATACGGCCAGAGGAGAAATCCCTTTGTGCCAGTGGAACTCTCTCCAGGCAGAGATGGCTCCTGTGGAACCCTCCCTGCACTCTCTGGTGCTGTGCGGGGAGCTCTGATATAGCAATCCTTCATTGATGTTAGGAATCTTATGCACGTGGTCTAAATTAGAGCCGTTGAGGAGCTCCTCTAAGGGTATGTCTACACTACAAAATTAGGTCGAATTTATAGAAGTCGGTTGTTTAGAAATCATTTTTATAAGGTCGATTGTGTGTGTCCCCACACAAAATGCTCTAAGTGCATTAAATCGGCGGACTGCGTCCACAGTACCGAGGTTAGCGTCGACTTCCGGTGCGTTGCACTGTGGTAGCTATCCCACAGTTCCTGCAGTTTCTGCCGCCCATTGGAATTCTGGGTTGAGATCCCAATGCCTGATGGGGCAAAAACAGTGTTGCGGGTGATTCTAGGTACATGTCGTCAGGCCCCACCCTCCCTGCCGTGAAAGCAACGGCAGACAATCGTTTCGCGCCTTTTTTCAGCCCAGACGCCATAGCACTGGGATCATGGAGCCCGCTCAGATCACCGCGGCAATTATGAGCACTATGAACACCACGCGCATTGTCCTGGAGTATATGCAGGACCAGAACCTGCCAAGGCAAAACCAGGCGAGGAGGCGACGGCAGCGCGGCGACGAGAGCGATGAGGAAATTGACATGGACAGAGACCTCTCACAAAGTACAGACCCCAGCAATGTGCAAATCATGGTGTTACTGGGGCAGGTTCATGCCGTGGAACGCCGATTCTGGGCCCGGGAAACAAGCACAGACTGGTGGGACCGCATCGTGTTGCAGGTGTGGGACGATTCCCAGTGGCTGCGAAACTTTCGCATGTGTAAGGGCACTTTCATGGAACGTTGTGAGTTGCTTTCCCCTGCTCTGAAGTGCAAGAATACCAAGATGAGAGCAGCCCTCACAGTTGAGAAGCGAGTGGTGATAGCCCTGTGGAAGCTTGCAACGCCAGACAGCTACCGGTCAGTCGGGAATCAATTTGGAGTGGGTAAATCTACTGTGGGGGCTGCTGTGATCCAAGTAGCCAAAGCAATCAAAGAGCTGCTGGTATCAAGGGTAGTGACTCTGGGAAACGTGCAGGTCATAGTGGATGGCTTTGCTGCAATGGGATTCCCTAACTGTGGTGCGGCGATAGACGGAACCCATATCCCTATCTTGTCACCGGAGCACCAAGCCACCGAGTACATAAACCGCAAGGGGTACTTTTCAATGCTGCTGCAAGCACTGGTGGATCACAAGGAACATCAACGTGGGATGGCCAGGAAACGTGCATGATGCTCGCATCTTCAGGAACTCTGGTCTGTTTCAAAAGCTGCAGGAAGGGACTTTCTTCCCAGACCAGAAAATAACCGTTGGGGATGTTGAAATGCCTATAGTTATCCTTGGGGACCCAGCCTACCCCTTAATGCCATGGCTCATGAAGCCGTACACAGGCAGCCTGGACAGTAGTCAGGACCTGTTCAACTATAGGCTGAGCAAGTGCCGAATGGTGGTAGAATGTGCATTTGGACGTTTAAAAGCGCGCTGGCGCAGTTTACTGACTCGGATACACCTCAGCGAAGCCAATCTTCCCATTATTATTACTGCTTGCTGTGCGCTCCACAATATCTGTGAGAGTAAGGGGGAGACATTTATGGTGGGGTGGGAGGTTGAGGCAAATCGCCTGGCCGCTGATTACGCGCAGCCAGACACCAGGGCGGTTAGAAGAGCACAGCAGGGCGCGGTGCGCATCAGAGAAGCTTTGAAAACCAATTTCAGGACTGGCCAGGCTACGGTGTGAAAGTTCTGTTTGTTTCTCCTTGATGACCCCCCCGCCCACCACCCCGGTTCACTCTACATCCCTGTAAGCTAACCACCCTCCCCTCCCCCCTTCGATCACCGCTTGCAGAGGCAATAAAGTCATTGTTACTTCACATTCATGCATTCTTTATTAATTCGTCACACAAATAGGGGGATAACTGCCAAGGTAGCCCAGGAGGGGTGGAGGAGGAGGGAAGCGCCAGGTGGGGTGGGGGAGGTGATAAGGACAAGGACACACTGCACTTTAAAACTTTAAAACCTATTGAAGGCCAGCCTTCTGTTGCTTGGGCAATCCTCTGGGGTGGAGTGGCTGGGTGGCCGGAGGCCCCCCCACCGCGTTCTTGGGCGTCTGGGTGAGGAGGCTATGGAACTTGGGGAGGAGGGCTGTTGGTTACACAGGGGCTGTAGCGGCGGTCTCTGCTCCTGCTGCCTTTCCTGCAGCTCAACCATACGCTGGAGCATATCAGTTTGATGCTCCAGCAGCCGGAGCATCGACTCTTGCCTTCTGTCAGCAAGCTGACGCCACCTATCCTCTTCAGCCCGCCACTTGCTCTCTTCAGCACGCGATTCAGCCCGCCACCTCTCCTCACGTTCATATTGTGCTTTTCTGCACTCTGACATTGTCTGCCTCCACGCATTCTGCTGTGCTCTGTCAGCGTGGGAGGACATCTGGAGTTCTGAGAATATGTCATCCCGAGTGCGCCTTTTTCGCCTTCTAATCTTCACTAGCCTCTGCGAAGGAGAAACATTTGCAGCTGGTGGAGAAGGGAGAGGTGGTAGTTAAAAAGACACGTTTTAGAGAACAATGGGTACACTCTTTCACGTTAAATTTTACTGTTCACATTACACAGCACATGTGCTTTCGTTACAAGGTCGCATTTTTCCTCTTATATTGAGGGCCTGCCGGTTTGGTGTGAGAGATCACACACGCAGTGCCAGGCAGCAGAATTCGGCTTGCAGGCAGCCATGGTAAGGCACAGTCTTTTGGCTTTTTTAACCTTCATAACATGTGGGAATGGTTTCAAACAGCAGCGCCCTCATTTCCCATACCAAGCGGCCGTTGGGTTGGCCATTTAAAATGGGTTTGCAATTTAAAAGGAGGGGCTGCGGTTTCCGGGTTAACGTGCAGCACAAACCCAACTAACCCCCCTCCCCTCCCCCCCACACCCAATTCTCTGTGATGATCACTAACAGCGGGGAACATTTCTGTTCATCAGAGCAGGAACGGGCACTTCTGAACGTCCCCTTAATAAAATCACCCTATTTCAACCAGTTGACCATGAATAATATCACTCTCCTGAGGATAACAAAGAGAGATAAGGAATGGATGTTGTCTGCATGCCAGCAAACACCGGGACCCCATACGCTGCCATGCTTTGTTATGCAATGATTCCAGACTATGTGCTACTGGTCTGGCGTGGTAAAGTGTCCTACCATGGAGGACGGAATAAGGCAGCCCTCCCCAGAAACCTTTTGCAAAGGCTTTGGGAGTACATCAAGGAGAGCTTTCTGGAGGTGTCCCTGGAGGATTTCCGCTCCATCCCCATACACATTAACAGACTTTTCCAGTAGCTGTACTGGCCACGAATGCCAGGGCAAATTAATCATTAAACACGCTTGCTTTTAAACCATGTGTAATATTTACAAAGGTACACTCACCAGAGGTGCCTTGTGTGCCCTCAGGGTCTGGGAGCACGCCTTGGGTGGGTTTGGGGGTTACTGGTTCCAGGTCCAGGGTGAAAAACGTCTCCTGGCTGTTGGGGAAACCAGTTTCTCCACTTCCTTGCTGTGAGCTATCTTCCTCGTCCCCAAAACCCGCTTCCGTGTTTCGTGATTCTCCATTGATGGAGTCAAAGCACAGGGTTGGGGTAGTGGTGGCTGCACCCCCTAGCATGGCATGCAGCTCTGCGTAGAAGCGGCATGTCTGCGGATCTGCCCTGGACCTTCCGTTTGCCTCTCTGGTTTTGTGGTAGGCTTGCCTTAGCTCCTTAATTTTCACGTGGCACTGCTGTGCGTCCCTGTTATGGCCTCTGTCCTTCATGCCCTTTGAGACTTTTTCTAATACTTTGCCATTTCGTTTACTGCTACGGAGTTCAGCTAGCACTGATTCATCTCCCCATATGGCGAGCAGATCCCGTACCTCCTGTTTGGTCCATGCTGGAGCTCTTTTGCGATTCTGGGACTCCATCGTGGTTACCTGTACTGATGAGCTCTGCGTGTTCACCTGGGCTCTCCACCACGCTGGGCAAACAGGAAATTCAAAATTTCACGGGCCTTCTCCTGTCGACCTGGCCAGTGCATCTGAGTTGAGAGTGCTGTCCAGAGCGGTCACAATGGAGCACTCTGGGATAGCTCCCGGAGGCCAATACCGTCGAATTGCGTCCCCACTACCCCAAATCCGACCCGGAAAGGCCGGTTTCAGCGCTAATCCCCTCGTCGGAGGTGGATTAAAGAAATCGATTTAAAGAGCCCTGTAACAGGGTTGGGACGCACCACCTGGCACCTCCTGCTGGTTGTCTCTGGGAATTAGCTCAGTCCAGTGGAGCGCCCTCTCCTGGTGGTATCCCGGCTGTCATCTTGCCCTTGGTTGGCGTGTGGACCCGTGTTGCTCACCAGCTCGCGGCGTCCTTTTCCGGACCACTGCCCTCCTGCAGTGCCCCTCAGTCCATCCACACCCCCTTCCGGGGGGGGATTGATCAGCAGTCTCTATGCTCCAGCCACCGTGGTCAACCACACACCCCAAAGTCTAATCCCTCCTGTCAGGGATCTGGCATGGTCTATAATGGCCGCTCCCTACGGCCAATGGCTGGGTGTACTGCAAGGGGGGAAGGGGGTGACCCAGGCCCGCCCACTACTCTGGGTCCCAACCCAGGGACCCTCTAGTGGAAGCCGTCCTGCCCTCCTTCTCTCCCTCCGTCTGTCCACATCCCTGGGCCGTTTCCCCTTCGGCCCCTCACACCAGCTAGGCCCTTCCCCTCAGGGCCTGCAGCCTGGCAGACACCAGGCTGGAGTTACCTTGCTGCTCCCCCGGGCCTGCCTAGCACTGCGCTGTCCCAGGTGCTAGTCTCCCTGCTCTGGAGACAGACCTTCCCCTGTCGAAGGCCTGGGACAGACTGCCTGCTCCCTTCCTGGGCAGCCTTCTTACACGGCTGAGCCTGGCCCTGATTGGCTGCCTCCAATCTGGGCCCCGATTGGCTCCCAATAAGCCCTTCTATGATTGGCTCCCTTTCTGTGCAGGCCCACTGGCCTCCTGCAGCCTAAATTCACCAGGAGTGGGGCAGCCGCCCCACTACAAGCCCTTTAAGACGAAAAAAAGGGCTTCGTTGTGTGGTCGGGTCAAGGCTTAAATCGAGGTAACGCTGCTAATTTCGACCTAAAATCATAGTGTACACCAGGGCTAAGTTATGCAGACGGCAGATGGTGCAGGATCAGGGAGCTGCTACTGGTTCCCTGACAGCTCCCCCTGCACTGAATGGAGCTGTGATGTGGGCAAATTTCAGCCCTACTATATTCTCTCTTTCTACCCAGTTCCATCACTGGCTCCATTGCCATTGAAGTCAATGGAAAGAATCTCTATTAATGTCAATGGGCTTTGCTCAGGTCCTCACATGGCTCCCATCATAGCGGCTAAACATCCTCCGTGAGCAGCACTGGCTAGGTATACAGAAGCATTCTTCCATCAACCTGGCTGCATCTAATCAGGGGCTATGGCGCTTAGGGGTGAGACATTTTTCACACCCCTGAGTGATGTAGCCATGTCGATCAACATTTTAAGTGTGGACCAGGCCTGAGACACCCAGCGTGGTGTGGAAGACAGCTCTGTGCTGGGAATTGGCTGCGGTTTGGTCTCGCTGCTATTGCCAGGGGCTGTAGTTACAGAGCACAGGACAGCCCCACGCACGCCCTCGGGCCTCTAGGTTAGCCGGCATTCGTAAGCTCTGGGGCTGGGAAATGCAGTCACTTCTCAGATGGGCCCAGAACCACTTGGATGATCGAGCTGAGACAGACAAACTGACCTCAACCCCTTCCTTCTCACTCACCCACTTCTCGCCTTCCTTTCTCCTCCCTATGTGCTCATGCTCCCCCTCCTCACCTGGATTGGCCCTCTGCCTGTCTTCCCCTCTCACCTGGATTGCACCGCCTTCTCCTCAGAGGGGCTGCCGTTGGCTGGACTCGTCTCAGTAGACAGCTGCGCACCCTTCACGGGTGTCTTGTGGCTCTTGGTCTGGCTTTGTTCTCTTTTCAGCTCAGAGTCACTGGATGGACGAGATGGACATAAGAACTGGTTACAACCTGTGAGAGGGGGCTCTCTAATGGCAGGTGAAGCTAGACATGGGAAACAGAGTGAAAGCAACCCAATGCCACCCAGGAAGAGGCATACAGACTAAAATCATCTCTTCCAAGCCAGCGCAAAAGGAATTAATGTATTATTCCATGTTCACATCAAGTTAGAGCTGAGAGTTTAGTCACACAACAGTCAGGGTTAGATTTGTCAGAGCAGCTTTCCCTCTGGGTCTCCCGTTCCCAGAATCAGGACAAAGTCGCAAGGAAGCTTGGGAGGAAGGATGGGATTGTAGCTAAGGCACAAGACTGGGTGGCAGAAAACCTGGGTTCTGTTCCTAGCTCTGAAACTGAGGCCTGGTCTACACTACGAGTTTAGGTCGAATTTAGCAGCGTTAAATCGAATTAAGCCTGGACACGTTCACACGACGAAGCCCTTTTTTTCGACTTAAAGCCCTTTAAACCGGATTCTTTACTCCACCTCCGACGAGGGGATTAGCGCTGAAATCGGCCTTTGCGGGTCGGATTTGGGGTAGTGTGGACGGAATTCGATGTTATTGGCCTCCGGGAGCTATCTCACAGTGCTTCATTGTGACCGCTCTGGACAGCACTCTCAACTCAGATGCACTGACCAGGTAGACAGGAAAAGCCCCGCGAACTTTTGAATTTCATTTCCTGTTTGCCCAGTGTGGAGAGCACAGGTGACCACGCAGAGCTCATCAGCACAGGTAACCATGATACAGTCCCAGGATCGCAAAAGAGCTCCAACATGGACCGAACGGGAGGTACAGGATCTGCTCGCCATATGGGGAGACGAATCAGTGCTAGCTGAACTCCGTAGCGTAATCAGCGGCCAGGCGATTTGCCTCAACCTCCCACCCCGCCATAAATGTCTCCCCCTTACTCTCACAGATATTGTGGAGCGCACAGCAAGCAGCAATAACAATGGGGATATTCTTTTCGCTAAGGTCTGAGCGAGTCAGTAAGCTGCGCCAGCGCGCTTTTAAACGCCCAAATGCACATTTCACCACCATTCGGCACTTGCTCAGCCTGTAGTTGAACAGGTCCTGACTCCTGTCCAGGCTGCCTGTGTACGGCTTCATGAGCCATGGCATTAAGGGGTAGGCTGGGTCCCCAAGGATAACGATAAGCATTTCAACATCGCCAACGGTTATTTTCTGGTCCGGGAAGAAAGTCCCTTCCTCCAGCTTTTGAAACAGACCAGAGTTCCTGAAGACGCGAGCATCATGTACCTTTCCCGGCCATCCCACGTTGATGTTAGTGAAACGTCCCTTGTGATCCACCAGGGCTTGCAGCAGCATTGAAAAGTACCCCTTGCGGTTTATGTACTCGGTGGCTTGGTGCTCCGGTGCCAAGATAGGGATATGGGTTCCGTCTATCGCCCCACCACAGTTTGGGAATCCCATTGCAGCAAAGCCATCCACTATGGTCTGCACGTTTCCCAGAGTCACTACCCTTGATATCACCAGGTCTCTCATTGCCCTGGCAACTTGGATCACAGCAGCCCCCACAGTAGATTTGCCCACTCCAAATTGATTCCCGACTGACCGGTAGCTGTCTGGCGTTGCAAGCTTCCACAGGGCTATCGCCACTCGCTTCTCAACTGTGAGGGCTGCTCTCATCCTGGTATTCTTGCGCTTCAGGGCAGGGGAAAGCAAGTCACAAAGTTCCATGAAAGTGCCCTTACGCATGCGAAAGTTTCGCAGCCACTGGGAATCGTCCCACACCTGCAACACTATGCGGTCCCACCAGTCTGTGCTTGTTTCCCGGGCCCAGAATCGGCGTTCCACGGCATCAACCTGCCCCAGTAACACCATGATTTCCACATTGCCGGGGTCTGTACTTTGTGTGAGGTCTATGTCTATGTTAATTTCCTCATCACTCTCGTCGCCGCGCTGCAATCGCCTCCTCGCCTGGTTTTGCCTTGGCATGTTCTGGCTCTGCATATACTCCAGGACAATGCGCGTGGTGTTCATATTGCTCATAATTGCCACGGTGATCTGAGCGGGCTCCATGATCCCAGTGCTATGGCGTCTGGGCTGAAAAAAGGCGCGAAACTATTGTCTGACGGAGGGAGGGAGGGGCGAGTGACGACATGGCTTACAGGGAATTAAAATCAACAAAGGTGGCTGTGCATCAGGGAGAAACACAACAACTGTCACACAGAATGGCCCCCCCCAAAGATTGAACTCAAAACCCTGGGTTTAGCAGGCCGTTGATTTCACGGAGGGAGGGGGAAGCAAATGAATACAGAACAAATCTGGTCCATCTATTTTTTACATCTTAGGCTGGCAGCAGACGGTGCAGCATGACTGATAGCCATAGGCATCTTCTGGGTGCTTGGCAGAAGATGCTGCATTACGACTGCTAGCCATCATCGTCAAGATGGTTCAATAGGACTGCCGGCAGGACTGTGTCTCCAGGAGACAAAACATGTCTGCCCAGGTGCCTCTGACTGAACTCACTGAGGAGTACGACGACGACGACGGATACCAGTCGTAATACACTATCCACTGCCAAAAGGCAAGGAGCTGCTGCTGTATAGCAATGCAGCCCCACGTCTGCCAGCACCCAGATGACATATGGTGACGGTGAGCTGAGCTGAGCGGGCTCCATGCTTGCCGTGGTATGTTGTCTGCACAGGTAACCCAGGTAAAAAGGCGCGAATCGATTGTCTGCCGTTGCTCTGACGGAGGGGGAGGGGCCTGACGACATGTACCCAGAACCCCCCGCGACACTGTTTTTGCATCATCAGGCATTGGGATCTCAACCCAGAATTCCAATGGGCGGCGGAGACTGCGGGAACTGTGGGATAGCTACCCAGAGGGCAACGCTCCGGAAGTCAACGCTAGCCTCGGTACTGTGGACGCGGTCTGCCGACTTAATGCACTTAGAGCATTTTATGTGGGGACACACACAATCGACTGTATAAAACTGATTTCTATAAAACCGGCTTCTATAAATACGACCTAATTTCGTAGTGTAGACATACCCTGACTCTCTGTGTGGGTGAAATAAGGGGCCTTTGTCTATCAGATCCCCCTTGTGGCAAGATGGGGAGCTACACCAACTTGGCTCCAGCCCCTGATGCTATCACACCCAACTCTGTGTTTGTCAAGTCCTTGTTACAACCTGACTTTTCCTGGCCAGATCCTCAGCAGTCTCTGGCTTCTTCAGGGTGATGGGGAGTCAGAAGTTCCATGGCTCTAGTAGGCGTTAGTCAGCCCTTGGTCTCCTGCGTTTAGAACCTTCTTCTCCATAAGCCCCTGGCTGGAGTACGCAGGGGAGCCCAGGCCAGCCCAACTCACCGGGTTCAGCTCAGGGCCCGTTTGGATCAGCCAGAACCAGTCTTTGTCAGCCCCTTGCTGCTACCTCCTGCTTCTCCCCCTCTGTAGGCTTGCCCCGCTTCTCTCTCTTTGGAGTGTTAGCCGTTCACCAGCCTGCTATAGAGGGCGGCTCTCTAGCAGCTGCCTTTCTTCTCAGGAACTCTCCTTCTAACTGAGGTCCTTAATTTTTTTTATCATGCCCAGGGGCTTCCCTGCCTAATTAACTGCCTCCCAGTACCCTTGGGTGAACCTGAGCTGCCTCATTCCCCATTGTGGAGCCTGTAAGAGGTGGGCTGGGCTCCTGAGCCTTCAATGGGCCATTTACCCTCTGACAGTGCAGTGGGCAAATCCCTTCCCCTCCTCTTACCAGTAATGAAAATAAAGTCCATACCCTGGGGAATTTACAATTCCAGGGCCGGATTCTGATCTCACTCACACATCTGAGAATTAGGAGCATATGCTCTCAGCAGTGGTGTTTATGAGCATCCCAGGGTACCACAGCTGCATGTGAAATCAGAGTGAGGCTTTAATTATGCCAGCAAAGTGTTGGCAACCACAAAGTAGGGAGGGGGTGGGAAAAGGCAGAGATCCAGGAAAAGCTATGGTGAGAGATACCTTGTTCTGTATATGCCCTGTGGGTTCCTGGGTTAATTGTTAATGTACGGAAGGCGAAGGGACAGACGAGCAGGGCTGTGGCATTACGTCAGAAAGAACATACACAGATTCTTCGTAAAGTGCCAGACTTCGGTCCAGCCTGGCAGCCCTTCAGAGAGCAGCGCAGTCAGCTCCCTCCCAGCCCAGCTCTAGCTTCCCTTACCTGTCCAGCGAGGGGTGGTAATTCTCATCTCGCAGGTCGTCAGTGTAAGTGAGGTCATCTTCTTCGGTGAAGTCTTCATCCTCATCCCCTTTGGGCTCAGGCACCTCCTCTGGTTTATCCTCCAATCCTGGTGCACTGCAAGAATCAAATGTCAAGAGAGCGGGTTGGAGCCATGGCTCTGAGGGGAAGTCTCTGAGGCTCCTGATCCCACCATCTCTCCTCACAGCCTGATGGTCATCCTGCCTACCTGTCCCTGTCAGTCACTGGCCTCTCTGCTGAAGCTGTTCACAACAGGGCTGATGCGTAATAATAGGGATGGGGCAAGACTGCCCCACTGGAAACTGGCTTGAGAACTCAGCTGTTATTTTCATACCGGACGTTGTCAGATGGGAGTGACTCTGGGTCATCGCAGTCCTGGGGATACGGGACAGCTCCTCTCTAGTCCCAGGAGCACACGCGCAGGGGATAGGTAAGCACCAGGGACAGATGAGGAGAAGAGCCACCGTCACTCACCTCTCCGGCTCTATCCCTTCCATGCCAGCCTCTGCCTCTGTAGGGAGGGGAGCTGTAGGGAGAGAAACTAGGTGCAGTCAGTTGAAGGGTGAGATGGAACCATGAAGCTGAGATCTGCAGAGAAGGGACGGGGAAGGAAGGAGCGACTGCAATGGTGGGAGAGACGGTGCAGGGAAGGTTTGGGAGGAGAGAGGAATGCAGAGTGA